GAATGACTTCTTCATCACTTTGTGATGATTTGTTTTCATGCTGGTCTAATTAAAATATAGGTCCCTGATGGGAACAGAAGGCACATGGACTCTGCAATCAGCTGGATCTGGGTTCAAATCCTGCCTTGGCCCACATTTGCTGAGAGACCCAAGCGAGGTTCTTAACCTCTCTGGGGCTATGTTTTCTGAGGTTTGGGAGCAATGTATGAGAGATTATATGCCTAGCAAAGTGTAGGTGCTCAGAAAATACCTGTTAAATGGAACGGCATTGAATTGCAATTTGATAAGAGTCTTGGGGAGGCTGGGGAGGAGAAAGCTTAAGATAAAGATAAAAGAAGCTGGCATCAGAGTTGTTCAGGAAGCATGTACAATCCCAACTGCAGCCCGTCTTCCTGAGAATGAGATTCAGGAGGAATCCGGCTCATGAGCCGGACATGGGGGGCGGGGGGCGAGACGCTGAGGAATCACTTTTTGAAAGTGATCACCTTGGAGCATTCGAATGGTCAGAAGAAATGGGTCTCACAGCAAAGGTTGCAGAGGAGAGATAGTCAGCCAGGCCTCAAAGGACAGAAGGATTTCCTGTGCATTTCACTGTCTCCATCACTGCCCTGGATTCTCTGTGCCTGCTAAAGGACAGGTGGGTCCTGGGCCATCTCTGCTCCTGTGAAGGGCCTTGAATAATTAATTGATCAAGCCACTAAGTGAGAAGCTCATGAATTCTTAAACCCTTTTAAGGGCCTCCCGGGAAGGGAGGGCATCCCCTCCAGGGTCTCTGGTGCCCTGCGGTCTCTCCATCTAGGTCCTGGATAAAGCAAATGTCAGGGTCAGGCCCCCCTGTGTGGCCTTCAGACTGACAGCTTTTTAAGGAATGGAATATTTCCCCCAGGATCCCCAGTTCTCTTCGCACATGGATTCTACACCAGTAATTGGCGTAAGGGCAGTCTGGAGACTGTCCCCAGGACTCAAATCCTCTAAGTGCAGCATGCATAGATGCATTCCCTTCCCCCAGGCTAAACTGCCAGGACCCAGAGCATGCAGGTGACTTAAAACTTGGGATGCTTGGGGTGCCTGAGTGGCTCAGTGGGTTAAGCCTCTGCCTTCAGCTCAGATCATGATCTCAGGGTCCTGGGATCGAGCCCCGTGTCGGGCTCTCTGCTCAGCGGGGAGCCTGCTTCCCCCTCTCTCTCTGCCTGCCTCTCTGCCTACTTGTGATCTCTGTCTGTCAGATAAATAAACAAACAAATAAACAAACAAACTTGGAATGCTCAAGGCCCTGGCAGATTGCCTCTCCCAACAAGTTAATAAGTTTTTTAAATGGAGAAATGTTATGGAAAAAAACCAAAGGTTTTGTTTTTTTTTTTTCCCCTGTTTGTTTTATTTTAAGGACAGATTACTTAAGCTAGGGAATGCTTCCTGGAGGAGGTAGCTTTTGAAATGAAACCCAAACCATCAAAAGAAAGATCTGGAGAAAGACAATTGCAAACAGAAGGAATAACAAAGACTGTCTGCCTGCAGGGAATCATACTTGGTGTGTTCCTAGGACAGAAAGAAACTCAGTGTGGCCAGAGCACAGTGAATGAGAGTGTTAGTGGGGTATAAGGGAGACAGAAGACTGGATCTACTGGCCCTCATGAGGCCTCTGGGGAAAAGAGCAAAAATAACCCTCTTTCTGGATAGACATAACCCCTTATCCATACACAAGATTCCATGAGAGGAACATAGCTGAATTTTAATCCCTACTTGCCTGTCTGCCAGGCACCTTTGTGCATTGTGCAACATGCAGAACTGTACATGGAGGACCTGGGGAGTGCCATTAGTTGTCTGTGACGGAGCTGGACAGAAGGGGGAAATCATAGCTCAGTGCTGGCCAGGTTAAATTCGAGATACCATTAGCCCCCAGGAGAAGTTGCTGAGTAGACAGATGAATATGCCCACCTGGAACTCAGGGCAGAGGTCTGGGTGTCCTCACTGGATCATCACACACTTGGATGACACAGTCCGGGGACAGCCAGGTCTGCCTGTGAGGTGCTTACGAATCCATGGGAGATGTCAACAAGGTGCTCAGAAATCAAAATTTAAGGAGATACTCCTTCGCAGGATCACATAAGTGCAGAGCTGGCACTTGAGAGTGAGTCCCACCTTAAAATTTGTGTCTTCTTAGCAAGATGGGATTGGGAGGGAGATAAACCATAAGTGACTCTTAATCTCACAAAACAAACTGAGGGTTGCTGGGGGGAGGGGGGTTGGGGGGGTGGGGTTATGGACATTGGGGAGGGTATGTGCTATGGTGAGTGCTGTGAAGTGTGTAAACCTGGCGATTCACAGACCTGTACCCCTGGGGAAAAAAATATATGTTTATAAAAAATAAAATTAAAAAAAAAATTTGTGTCTTCTTAAATCTAGTTCCATCCTGTGTAATTCAATGGAGAAAAGGTAGTCTAACAACAAATGGTGCTGGCCCACTTGGACACTCATTTGGTAAAGAAAAAGAAAAGAACCTCACACTTCCCTTCACACTGTATATAAAAACAAAAATAGGTCAGAGACCTAAACATAAAAGCTAGAAGTATGAAACTTTCGGGAGGAAAAAAAAAAAAAAAAACAAAAACAGAGAAAATCTTCATGACCTTGGGGTAGGCAAAGATTGCTTAGGCTACAGAAAGCATGAACCATAAAAGAGAAAAAAAAATCAATTGGATTTCATCAAAACTAAGAATTTTTCTTCAGGAAACAAAACAAAACAAAACAACAACAACAAAAAACACCATTAAGAAGATTAAAACACCAGAGGCCCAGAGAGACTGTGTACGGTATATATATCTGACATAGAACTTGTGTACGGTATATATATCTGACATAGAACTTGTTTCCAAAACACATAAGGAACTCTTACAACTCACTAATAAAAAGACAATTGATCCAATTTTTTTTAAGTGGGTAAAAGACTGGATCCAACCCTTCACAAAAGAAAATATACGAACATCCAAGAATGAGTAGGTTAAAGTGATGTTCAAGATCATTGTCATCAGGAAAATGCAAATGGAAACCATAATGAAGTACTACTTTCCACCCACTAGAATGGCTTCTGTTAATAACAATGCCAAGTCTTCCGTGAGAACACAAAGCAACCGAAATTCTCCTACACTGCTGGTGGGTATATAAAATGTACAAACACTTTGTAACAGTTTGGCGGCCTGTTCAACACACAACTAAGCCATTGCCCTTTGAAAATGGAAACAAAGACTTGTAGCCAATGTTCAGTGTTTTAGTCATGATAGCCAAAACCTTGGAGACAATTCAAGTGTCCATCAGCAGGAGAAAAGATACAAACAAGACTGGTCCATATACACAGGGTCTGTACTCAGCAATCACAATGTAACTACCTACATATGCCACACCATGAATGAGTCTCCGTGGTTGAACCCCAAAGCCAGACAAAGAAAAACAATAATCGGTATGATCCCATCTATATAGAAATCTAGAAAAGATAAATCTTACTGTAGTGTTAGAAACCTGATCAATGTTTGCCTGAGGCTGGCGATAGATGGTGGGTATTGACCCTAAGGGAACAAGAGGGAACTTGGAGGGATGAGTGGAATGTTCTGTATCTTGATTATAGTTCTGGTTACAAGGTGTATATATGTATCAAGACTCATTGACATGGACCTGTAAAATAGATACATTTATGTAAATTATACATCAATAGGGTGATTAAATACCTCCATTCAAGATTTTGTTGACAGCCTTTTAAATCCTCTGGTCCTCCTTGTTACTCAGAGAGTGTGGTAACATTAGAATGTTTCTTCTATTCAAGGATATTGTAGTTAAAGAGTTTGGTTCAGGGCAAGGACATAATGAACATTAAAAATGGACTTCAGGGGGTGCTCCTGAGTGGCTCAGTCTATTAAGCGTCTGCCTTCAGCTCAGGTCATGATCCCTTGGTCCTGGGATGGAGCCCCACACTGGGCTCCCTGCTCAGAGGAGTGTCTGCTTCTCCCTCTGCCTCTGCCTCTGTGATCTCTCTTGCTCTCACTCTCTCTCAAATAAAATAAAATCTTAAAAAAAAAAAAAAAGAAAGAAAGAAAGAAAAGAAAAGAAAAGAAAAGAAAAGAAAACAAAACAAAACAAGAATGGACTCAGGAAATTGCGGTGCATGAGGGAACTGGGGCCCAGAGAGAGGGGAGACACTTGTCCAAGAATACACAGCCCCGTATTGGTATGCACTACAAGGTGTTGTTCAGGGGAGTTTTGGGTTTTAGAAAAACCTAAACAAGCAGAGGCAGATGCCCGTCCATCAATCCCTCTTCTCTTGTCCTGTCTATTTTCCTTCACAACTGAGTCTGGGGTGAGGTCAGGATGCCTCCCACCCTCCACCACCCCAGCAAGGCCAGGCCGGCCAGGCCCGCCAGGCGGGCAACTGCCCAAACCCTAGGTCTGCAGAGCGCCTTCTAGGTGAGATGCCCAGTGGTCCGCCCACTCCCCCCACCCCGGGGTACAGTCTTCAACAAGCAGAGAGGACCACCTTGGGCAGGTCTCTGCACCTCCATCATTGCCCACCTCCCCTCCAGGGGCTTGGGGAGAAGCCATGACCACGGCCGTCGGCTCTCACTACTCCTACGGATCCTAGAGTTAGTTCTGCTCAGAAAGTGAGGCAAGGCAAGGAAATAAAGAACAAGCCAAGCTAGTTTTTAAACCTCCTTGCGCCCAGCTCCAGGGCCTGAGGCACACTGAACTCTGGGCACAGAGCTGGCAAGGAAAGCTGGGTCACCCTGACCCTCAAACCCCAAGCAAGACACGCCAGCCCCTACGGGGCGCCAAGAGCATTGTACTTGGGGTCCAGGCCCAAGTTCTTACTCCCATAAGCTGGGCGACCCCGGCCTCAGTTTCCCCACTTGGCCCCCCACGCAGGAGAGGATGTGGGACGCGCGGGGGGTTCCGCCGGGCCCCGCCCTCGGGGTGGGGCTGGGGGCGGTCACGTGGAGGGGCTCCCGGGCCCCCGAGCCCCGCCCCGCTCCCTGCCTCTGCCGGGTCTGGGTCTGGAGCGGAGCGCGCAGAGCCCACCGAGGCCGCCACGCCGAGGCTGCTGAGGTCCGCCGGGCCGCAGGATCCGAGGTGTCTGCTCGCTGCTCCGCGCGTTCCCGGCCAGCTGTGCAGGCGGCTGGACCCGCAGCAGCAGCAGCAGCATCGGCAGCAGCGAGGACTCGAGCGCGGGCGGCAGCGGCGACACCATGGATCTGTCCTTTATGGCCGCGCAGGTAACGGGGCGCCTTCCCCGCGCTCCCTGGGTTGCAAGTTTGGAGAGGTTCGGGGCCACGGGTTCGCCCTGCCTGCACCGCTGGCCGCGCGGGGAGGCTTCGAGCCCGGCGGTGGCGCCCGCGGAGGATCTACGTCCCAGTCCTTTGTCCGGAGCCGGGCATCCCCGACCTGATCTCTCGCGTCCGAGGCATAGAGCGCGGCTCCCGGGGGGTGGGGCCGGCCGTGCGCCCTGAGAGCGCAGGGCCGAGCTCTTCCCAGACTGCTAGGGGCCTGGGCGTTGCGAGGAGACCCCTCTCTGCCCATCCCCTCCCTGCCGTCTCCTCTCCAGGACCCGGGCCTTTCCCTCAGAGCCGTGCAGCCCAGATGCGTGCAAACCCGGGAGGGCGGGCACCCTCGCTGTTCTCCATTCCCTATCCTCCCGAGAAGCGGGAGACCTCGGGCGCCCCCCACTCAGTCTCCCCCATTAAGTGGAGACCACAGCCCCCGCAGCCTGAGGAAGGAGGTGAGACCCGCTCTGTGACCAACCAAGCGCCAGAGCGCCACTATCCTTTTATCCTTCTTTTTCCTTTGTAGGGAGTCTGTAGGCATCAGTGCCCAACGCGACCTTAACTCTTCCCTTGACACAAAACAGGTTGCCAATGTCAGGAAAAAAACAGACGACCTCTCGTCACTTGATCCCTGCTGAAAGAGAGTCCCCTGGAGTTCTGAGCGTTGGGTCTTTATGTTTTCAGCTCTCCTGAGCTAGAACAAAGACAGGCAGACACCCCCTTTGCAGAGCTGCCTGTGGCCTCTCCTGGGACCCAGTTCCGAGAACCGTCTGGCTCCAGGGAAGACCGCATTGGGTCTGGACGAGTAAATCCCAGTGTACCACGTTCGGACCTTGCCCCTTCTATGAGTTGCTTATGTTGGGAGCCCAGAGGAAGGAAGGCCACTGGGGGTCCCTCTGTCCCCTGCATGCGTAGCAGGGGCCCTGCTGCTGTTTAATTTTCCAGGGGATGGATTTGAAGAGAACACTTTCTTTTCCCACCCCCCAAATCCACCCCCCCCCCCAGTGGAAGCCTCTTGAAAAAGTAATTGCAAAATCCAGGCTGTATGGACAACAAGATCCCGAACACAGTCGTGGAAGGATGCGGGATCCCCAGGATGGTTCCAGATCCCAGCTCTAGGCAGCCTCTTGTTTAGTTTTCCAAAATGTGCCTTGCTCCAGTCAGCAACACTGGTCTTTGTTTGCCTAATTTTCTGTCTCCTGTTCCTAAACCCTTGTTTATAAATATTGTCATGTGGGCATCATTGTAGACAGTGGTGACTTTAGCTATAGGTTAACTGGAGTGGCCTCACCAGATTTATGTCTAGGGGAGACAGGAGTTCACACACACCTGTCTCTGCCTGCCTCCTCCGGATCTCACCAAACAGCTTGCATCCATGGTTACGAGATGAGATAAATTGATCAGGGCTAACCCTGGGGCTGGCTGGAGCATTGGAGGTTGCTATGGTAACCAGACAAAATAAACATAGGACTTTCCACCATCTGTAGGCAGAGCCCGCACAGAGATTGGGTTCTTTTTTCTCTCTCTTTTTTGTTTACTCTCAAGTTTTGTGTGCTCCGTGTATTCCTGCCAACAGATATTTGGGCATTGGTGACATGCTCAGTCCCGAGTCAGCTGCAAGGAACAGAAACACGACGGGCCATCCTAGGGAGAAAGCCTGAGGTTTATGGAGCGCCTGCTGTGTGCCTGCCATTTGCACACTGTATTATAGTAAATCCGGACAAGTCTGTGACATGGGCACTGTTATTCCCTCTTTCACAGACCAGGATATGAAACTTGAACAAGATTAAATAATTTGCCAGCATGGTGCATGTCCCCGCACATCACCAGTGGACAGTTTGACAGGGAAATATTAATGCCTCCGTCTACTTGTTTGGCAAGAGTGCCAAAAGGCTCATGCCAAGCTCCGTGCCAGGCATATGAGGTGGGACTGGGGTGCTGGCGACAAAGTGAAAGGGGATGTATGTAGGTTTTCTTTCTGGGTACTTACAGAGGACTGGAGAAGTGATGCACCAGGCCATTCCCCAGCAGGGGAATGGATCAGGGGATCAGAGCCAACCAAGACGCTTGGCACATAGTAGGCCTTCGGCAAGTTTCTGTTAGGTGATTGGATGGGGGTGAGACCAGATGGATGTGTATTGTGAAAAGGCAAGAACAGGAAAACAGTGCCTTTGTTGTGTTGGATGCCCCTCCCCACCAAAAACCTGTCATCGTCAGGACTTGGAGGACTCGAACTTGGATGGAGTAGAACCTCAGGCAGATCTCCCCTGGTGGACTCTAGGCAGAGAGGCAGGAGGAGGGAGGCCCAGAATATAGTCACAGACTCCTTCAGAAAGGGGGAAGGTAGGAGCAGAGGACATCTGGGAGAGGGGGACTGGGGCCAGGTCACAGAGGTTCCAACTCTGGGAAGTTCACATGAATCAGTGGGCTGTGGGAGCCATTGCAGGTCATTGAGCAGGGAATGGTTTATGATTGAAATAGTACTTTGGGAAGATCCCAGCCCCAGTGGAGCAAAGAGGTTGGAGGCATTAATGGAGCCAGAAGCACCCACCTGCTTGATTAATTGAGGGAATGAAGCCAGCTCCCTGGGACTTCAAGAGCTCCTCCCCCTCCTCAGGGTTGTGGACTGTGATTCCTGCTCTTGGCTTTAAAGGGCCCAGAGGATATAAGCCATTTTAGAAAGAGTGGCCTCTCAAATGCTAAGCATTACAAAGACATGCTTTATGGATGGAGGGAGTGGACACCAGTTCTCCCGCAACTCCCCAGCCGCAGATCTGCCCTCACTGGCATGGGTGCGTGGGGCTGTGTGAGGGGGCGGGGAAGAAGCTGTGGACCCAACCTCACCCCTGAGCCCCTGAGGTGCTCAGCCACCCTTTCCTCCACCCTGGACACACCCTAGCCCCTCTCTGCACAGTTCCTGGGTCCCCAGACCCTCTGGCAGGTTGAGCACCTGTTTCTCTATGGTCAGCGGTAGCCAGAAGGGCAGGGCTGTGCAGATGCCCAGGGAGCTGGGGACGAGGAGGACAGCACAGACATTGAGGACTGAGCCCCAAATCCCTGTGTCATTGGTGGGGTGGCTCTTACTCCAAAGATGGCCCTCTTCCCTTCCTCCCCATCATGGTTCCTCTGCCCTTAAATCTGGGTTGACATCAGTGACTTTCTTGACCAGGAGAAGGCAGTGTGAGTGGCGTTCTGGAATCTCCGAGATTAGCTTTTAAGGAGACTGCAGCGTCCACTGATGACTCCTAGAATGCTTGCTCTAGGGGAAATGCAAAGAGCCTGAGACCTCTGCGATGAGACGAGAGAGTGAACATTTAAGGGACCTGCCGCGTGGGCAGAAATGAACAAGAGGATGAGGAGTGCTCGCGGCTACAAGGCTGAGTTGAACGAGCACACACAGGACACACGAGCTCAGTCCTGTGTTTGTTCTGTGCCACCCCTACAGTGACTAGTCCAAACTCAGGAGTTCCCGACGTTACTGCCACGAGGATCCCCTGGGAGCTTGGAAGACCTGTGCCCCCACCCCACCCCCAGTGCTCCCCTCGGAGTCTCAGCTGGAATCAGACATCAGTATTTTCTGCCATTCCCCAGAAGATTCCAGTGTGTGGTCTGGTTGGGGGCTCAAAGCTGAAACCGCACTTAGGGCCGTCTCCCTCCCCCTCCTCTGGATGGAACAGGTCCTTGGCTCCCTGGTCCCTTTCAGGTCACAAAAGGTACTGTGGTCCCCAGAAGTCAACTGAGTATGGATTCAGGAACTTAAAAAGCGAGACCCAGAATGATAACGTGGAGACTTGGCTCCAGAATTGAGGTTCCCCCTTTCTCCTGCCCATACCTGCCACATGTGGGAGACCCCTAATCAGGGAGGTGGCTCTGCAAGTCCCACCATGCAGACAGGGAAGAAGGGGAGCGCCAGGATGGCTCAGCCAGCAAGCGGAGGACCAGGCATGGAAGCCAAACCCCACGGCTGTCCTGCATGTGGGTTCACCAGCTCTCAGAGCAGACCCAGTGCCAGGGTGCAGGGGTGCGGGGGGAACCCAGGGCCCCTCCATGGAGCAGCCCCAGGGGATCCTCAGTCCCTGAACACAGAGTATTGTGCTTATGTCCATTTTTTTTTTAAAGATTCTGCTTATTTGACAGAGAGAGCATGAGCAGGGGGGAGGGGCAGAGGGAGAGGGACAAGCAGACTCCCCACCTAGCAGGGATCCCGACGCGGGACTCAGTCCTGGGACCCTGAAATCTTGACCTGAACCCAAGTCAGACACTTAACTGACTGAGCCACCCAGGCACCCCATGTTTATGTCCATTTTTTTTAAGATTTTATTCATTTATCTGAGAGAGAGAGAGAGAGAGAGAGAGAAAGAGCATGAGGGGGAGGAAGGTCAGAGGGAGAAGCAGACTCCTTTCTGAGCTGGGATCCCCGATGCGCGACTAGATCCGGGGACTCTGGGATCACAACCTGAGCGAAGGCAGTGGCTTAACCAACTGAGCCACACAAGTGCCCCTATGTCCATTTTTATAAACATGTTCCTAAAGAGGACTCTATTAGTTTCCTGCCTTAACAGAGGGGCACCGAGTGGCTTAGCCCCAGGGGAGAATCCATTCCAGGCCTCTCTTAGCCTCGCAGAGTTGCCCGTGGCCCTTGGTGCCCCTTGCCTGTGGCTGCATCTCTCTGATCTCTCCCTCAGCAAACCTGGCACCCACCTGGTATGTCTCTGTGTCTCTTCTCTGCTTAGAAAGATGCCGGCATACTGGGTTAGGGTCCACTCTGATGACCTCCGTTTAATTTGACTATACCTGCAGAGAACCTAGTTTGAAAGGAGGTCATACTCACAAGTATCAGGAGTTAGGGTTTCAAGAGCATGTTTTGCGGGGAGACACAGTTCACCCCATAATAACATCTGAACACCCACAAAGAATCTGAATCTTGATTCTTGGGTTAGTGGCCTCCAGTC